GTCTTAAGGTGCTTCTATCTGTAGGCGGTTCGCCAATGGGTCAGCAGTAAGTTTTAGGATTTATAACACTAAAATCCAGGGTTCATTTCCCCATGGGGTATAGAGCGAAAATGGCCCATTCTGTACATTTGCGCAAAAAAAAAAGAAACAAAATAAAAACAGTAATCTTTAGATTTTCCAGCTGATTTAATGTTAGGATGGTTTATCACCTAACATGTCTTTACCACTTTACAGTTTGATACTTCATTTTTGTGATTAAATATCTTTGATTTTGTTATCTGTTTCTCTAATGACTAAGCTTTTTACAAAAACTCAGTTTATCTCAGCTTGTTTCTATTTTCTGTTTTATTTTAATTTTCTAGCACTTTTATTACGTATTACTTCGCCAATATTGACTGTTATTTATTTCATTTATCATTACATTTTTGACACGTTCTGGTACTTTACGTCCCACGTGTCAGTATTGTGTAGAACAACGTTTACTTTATGATTGGAACCATGGATTCAACAATACCTGTTGTTCTCAATTATACTGATGATGATGAATTGATGTTGGTAAATAAATAGTTACTTACACGGTTGTTGTCAGTATTAGTAATTGTGATGGACTTTGTAACACCCAACCGATTAATCTTCATAAGTGCGTAATTTTGGCAACAAATGGTCTAAAAGCAAGGCCACAAACTTTACCTTATTCCACTACTTAAAATCTTGACCGGGACTGCATTCTCACCCACACCTATCCCTCTCACTATGCATTCCTACCAGACCTCAAGCTTTTTAATTTAAGATTATATTTGATATAAGAAATAAACTTTTCACGTGACTTCAAGAAGTTGATCCAAACTTTAGAGACGGTTGTAGTAAGATAAGACATTATAAAAGTTATTTTAAAGGTCAGTGGGAAAAGCTTAACGGGCACTCCCGTTTCATAATTTTAGAGTTGAACAATTGTTGTCTCCAGATGGTCACTCCGACTACGTACTTAATACAGATTTAGCAACTGTTGTCTCAAAACGCATTCCCGCTATGTACTAAGTCCAGATTTAGCAATTGTTGCCTCAAAACGGTCACTCTCGTTATTTTCTAAATCTAGATTTAGCAACTGTTGTCTCCAAACGGTCACTCCTGCTATGTACTAAATCTAAAGTTGAACAATTGCTGTCTCCAAACAAACTCCTGCTTTGTATTAAATCTAAAGTTGAACAACTGTTGTCTCCAAACGGTCACTCCTGCTATGTACTAAATCTAAAGTTGAACAATTGCTGTCTCCAAATAAACTCCTGCTTTGTATTAAATCTAAAGTTGAACAACTGTTGTCTCCAAACGGTCACTCCTGCTATGTACTAAATCTAAAGTTGAACAATTGC